CCCCCCCCCTTATGCCAATCCTCCTCGCACAGATATCCGTCCCCCGATTAGAGTCGCTGCTGCACCTCTCGGTGCAGATGAGCTCGGCCTCGCAAGACCCATTCAAGGATGACTTGGGACTAGAGTTCGCCGGCCGAAATCTTCTCAAGCAACTAGGTGAGGGGGGGTGGTAGGTGGTTTTGAGGGGACGGGGTGTCCAACCGCCATATACCCGGGTGTTCCAATGCGACGTTTTTTCCACGGGTATGAGGTAGGGTCGATAGCGATCCTCTTTTGTTGTTCGAGCAGCTTGTTACGTTGAAGGGCGAGATGTTCGTGTGTCCGATCGCCGGTGTCTACATATCCTCCTGTCATTCCCGGACTTCAACCTCGGTGGTGGCGTGGTTTGGAGGTAGCAGGCAAGAGCCTAGACGCCACCCACCTTTTTGTAGCAGCCTGGGCTAGCGAGTAGCAACAACAGCAGCCCTGGTAACAGCAGGGTTGACCTCTTTCGTGTTTTGAACAAGGCAGGGTTGCGAAGGTTTATACCGATGTGGCCCATCATCCCTTTGGAGAACGGTGAAATTTCAACTGTGCTGGTGCAACTACAACTTCAGCATCATTTTTTGTCACCAACTTCAGCATCCCGTGCCCGCAAGTCAAGTCAGTACTCCCCGGACTCCCCCCCTCCGCCCCCCATCAACAAGAAATGATCCACGGCCATGGCGGTTCGGGAAACCCCGATGCTTTGGGAGGTCCGGCGAAGGCAGCGGCGGCGGCGGCGGCGGCGGCAGCGATTGCGGCGTCCGCAATGCCATTCCCTTCGGGGGCGGAAAGGGAGGGCGGTGCGGAGTACGCGGAACGGATCATCCAGGGAACGGCGGTAAGATTGCGGGAACTGTGGATTGTTGGTGTTGAGAGAATGTTTCCTCTTACCCCGAGGTGTCTGGTGTAGTGGTCGGGACTGACGTAGACTGCGAGGCTGTTTGCGCCTGCATGACCCCCCCTCTGGGATGGACTGTAGCTCTGTTATACGGCAAGGTTTCTCGACACGGGGAGGGTAGCATTCGAACGCCGTTCTTGCACCTTAGCATGTTTCCACCCCAGCTGTTTTTTTTACCGTCCCGTTTCGTCGCCGAGTTTGAAACCGGTACCGGCGAGTGGTGGTGACGGCTACAATACGTCGCTTGAACGATCCGTGACCCGCAACATGCGCCATGCCGTCACCTTGTGGAAACCCGCAAATGGCGTGTGTGTGTGTGTTCGTCTCGCGGGTTGTGATCTCCTCAGGAGCTGCGAGGCGTGGAGGGGCTCATGATGTCCTTCAAGGTCGCGTGGCCGGTTTCGCTGGTGCTGTCCAAGAAGAGCCTGACCAAGTACCAGCTCCTTTTCAGGCACCTGTTTTTCGCCAAGCACGTCCAGAGGCTGCTGTCCAAGGACAGCTGGAGAGAACACCAGGTGAAGGGGGTGGAGAGAGACAAAAAATACCGTAACTTTTTTGACGATAGTTAAAAAGAGTCTCAAAGGGTCCCAGAACGAATGGCCCGTGCTGTATTTATGTTTTATCGCGTGTGCGTGAAGCACAGATGGGTGTGCATGAAGATAGATAGATGTGCATCAAGAAGGGCGCATGGAAAAAGTAATCCCTGCTGATGATGGCGATGCGATATTGACCTTGTTTTCCGGCCCAAGGTTTTAAATCTTTGCGGGATTCTCGCCGTAATTCTCCACATCGCGGCCCCCCAGCCATCGATCGTTCGTTTTTAACCATGGTTCGTTTTTCAACCATCGTTCATTTCAATCATCGTGTGCTTCCGACCCGGTCTCGCACACACTCGTTGGCTACTGCTGCTCGCTATTTTTTTTTCTTTCTCTTCATCAGGGCACGAAGCAGCTGGAGCTGAAGGGGCTCATGATGGACTCGTACCAGTTGCGCCACCGCATGCTTCACTTCATGCAGAACCTGGTGTACTACATGATGGTCGAGGTGAGAGGGCGGAAGAAGCTTGATATTACTCGTAGCGTGAATCGGTTTGCTTTTTCGTCCCGTAGAGGTGCGGCGCGGCACTGGCGTGCGCGGGGGGGTGCTCACCCAGCCTTTCGCGATGGGCCACTCGTGGTGGAATCTGCCCATCGTTGTGGTCGCCTCTAGAAGCGTGCAGACATCCAAGAACGCTGCTGGAAACCCACCCGTACCACCATCTCTACGGTATACCCCCAAGACAAATTCGTGCAATATCTTCTGGCTACCCACAACCCATCCCTTCGCCATCTCTCCAAATACGCCGCCGCCGCTGCCCCCGCCGCCTTGCGCATGTGTTTCAACATGATATCTTAACTACACTTTCAAACCACTGGTCCTCCCACTCTTTTTACGTCCAGGTGATCGAGCCGCATTGGCACCACTTCATGGACGACCTCAAGAAGCTTTGCGGCCTCAAGGGGCGGGAATGGCCGGCAGCCGGCGGCGGCAGCGGCGGCGGCAAACACGGCAGAGACGAAGGGGAGGCCGGAACTTTGGACGATGTTCTCCGACGGCACGAGCAGTTTCAGGACCTGTGTCTGAAGGAATGTCTCCTCACGAACATCGGCCTCCTGAAGGTACAGCAGTGTAGTCTGGCGCGGTACTGTGCCTTCCTGAAGGGACAAGCCCGGCGGTATCTCACAGAGATGTATGACGACGACTTGCTGCACGTGCGAGTGTGCGGGCTCTGGAGTTGCGCTTCTACTCGTGCTGCGGTTGTGTTGGCGTGATGCGAGGTCGTCTGGTGAGAAGGCCTGAGAGATTGATTGTCTTCGTTCAACCCGTTTTCATTCACCTATTTTTTTCAACCATGTTCATTCACCGACCTTCATTCAACCTTTTTTCACTCACCCATTTTCATTCACCCATTTTCGTTCACATTTTCATTCCCCCATATTCATTCACCCACTGTTATTCACCCATTTACATTCGCCCATTTTCGTTCACCCATTTTCACTCACCCATCTAATTTTGCATTTACATTTTCATTCACCCATTTTCATTCAACCCTTTTTATTCACCCCTCTTCACTCGCCCATTTTCATTCACCCAACTTTATTCAACGGGCTTCATGCGGTCGCCCCGGTGGTCTAGTGGCATCCTCGTAATCTGCTAGTCGCAGAGGTCGTGAGTTCGAATCCCCATGGGGTGAAAAATTTACGACATGTGCGGGTGAAAGCGAAATATAGCTGACAAGCTCTCGTGAGTACCAAACTTCGACGTTAGCACCGTTGACGAGGGAAAGGGACGGCTGGACCCTTCTCGCGATAAAAATAAAATTCAGCACGCACCGCAGGAGGAAGGTGGGGCATGAAAATAAATAAAATGAAGAAAAAAGCCCTGGTGTTTACCCCCTCCTGTGTGACCCTGGATGGTTGCAGTTGTACGAAAGTATTCACTGAAAAGTGTAGCACTCTACAAACGCTGAAAAAGTGTAGTACACGTCTCACCACGAAAAATGGGGGGACTGTCGCCATCATAAATAGGACGAAAACACACACACATACACCCATTTTACATTCACCTTGTCCCTCTTGTTTTCGTCCCATGACCCAGTCCCTGACAAGAGTGATGATCAGCTGTCTACACTTCGGAGACCAGGGAGGAGTCTTCGCAGCCGAGAGAGAGGCCCAGGAGGCTGCCGACAGAGAAAAGGAGGAGAAGGAAGACAAGCAAGAAAACGCGGCGGAACTCCTGCAACGGCGGCGGACGTCGGTGGGATCGGGAACCGGTAGTAAGTAGCGCCATTTTTGTTGTTCATGGTGTTTTTCAATCTTCGCAGTAGGAATGGAGTGGCACTCCAGAAGTATAAAGGTGTTTGTTCTGCCTTTCGCTTTTTTCTAGTTCAGGGTGCTGGGGACGCAATGACCTCTCTTTGCCAAGGTTTGCACACGCCACAGTTAGGTAGGTTGTGTTCTGTTATTGTGGACGTTGTTGATTTTTTCAGTTGTGGGGACGTGTGCATCGTCGAAGTACGTGAACCGCAGCGACGTTTTGTAGCGATGCCTTTCTGGAGGTTGCTTTTGTCCGGGTTGATGGTATCTTTGTTCCTGCAGGTTAAGCAAGGAAGGCGCGAGCGGCGGAGAATGGTTCGATGTTACCTTTTTCGACAAATGTACTAGCCTTGCCTCACACACCGCTGTCCGTGCCCCCTTCCGCCTGGCCGTTCTTGCCCCTTCGTTGCTATCATCCCTCTGCAAACAGGCGTTCGAAGCGTGAGGCTCGGGCCGAGAAGAAGCCTCAGCGGCGGCAGAAGAATCGAACACTTGAAGCGACGCTCTAGGTACACGGCCGTAGGGAGAAGAGCAGACCGATAAGACGCTCGCTGTGTCGTGTGTGATGGCGAATACTGTTGCAGTGTTAGTTGTACAAGTATATCGGCCAACGCGCTTTTTGTCGTGTGTGATGGCGGATATTATTGTAATAGTGTTAACGTTATTTAGTACCGGAGACTCGGGGTGAAGACTACGCCAACGTTCGGTGAAGCAATAAGGCATGTTGCCGTAGTCGCTGGCTAACTTCGTGCCTAATTGAAGTTGTTTGTCGAACTCCCCACCCCTTTCGCCGCCACTACCCCCCGAGTCTTCGAAACACACGGTCACTATTATTGTTATTTTCACGTCCACACACCCACTGCCGCCTCTTGTCAAGCCGTCCAATAACCATCGTCCCATTCCCGGTGCCCCCCCCCCCCCCCCCCC